TACAATTTATTTTTATTCCAATGTTATAAAACGGAAATACAAAATGATTCAAATTCAATTCATACAGTCTTCAGTTGTGAATGCAAAATAATCCGGTGAAGACTGTTTATATCAAATCCATCACTAAATTCTCAATGTTAATATCAATTCCTTTGTACAGAGGTAATGATTTTCAAAACAATTGACAACATTGGAATGTATGCGCGCGAAGCAAAGCCTTTAAGCCATCAAATAATAACATATCGAGAAGTGTTTTTGCACGGTAAACAGAAACTTTTTATTGAAAAAACAATTCGTAAAAATGGTTTTAACGGTCGAGGAAAAAGTGCAAATTGTTGTCTGGCATGTGAATGGATTCTCAGACAACATGATTAGACAACAATTTGTAAATATGTTTCCAAATAGGCCGGCTCCATCGCGATCAACAATTCAATCTATTATACGTAATTTTTTTACTTATGGATCCGTGTTCGCTCCAAGAGGAGTTCGTAGGCGAAGGGAGGTAAATCCAGATTTGGAACTAAGAGACACTTTGATTTGTGCAAGTATTGAGCAAAATCCTACCCAATCAACATCTCGTCTCGGAGAACAATATGGAATTTCAAGATTTAGAGTTGGTAAAATTTTGAAAAGGCATGGATACCGACCCTATAAACTTCATAAATCCAACGAACAATTCCCTGGGGATCAATATAGACGTTTAGAATTTTGTCAAACTGCAATGGAAATGTCACATCAAGATGAACATTTTTTAGAGAACGTCTTGTTAACCGATGAATGTACGTTTTCATTGCATGGCCGTCACAATTCAATGAATGCTCGGTATTGGTCCCGAGGAAATCCTCGTCAGATTTATGTTGCTCGTACCCAGCGTCCTCAAAAAGTAAATGTTTGGGGAGGCATAATAGGGAATCATGTCATTGGTCCATTTTTTATAGACGGTATGTTGACTGGGCGGAAATACTTGGAACTTCTGCAAAATCAAATTGTCCCAGCCCTTCGTAATTTACCAATTCCTTTCGATTCCATATGGTTTCAACACGATGGTTGTCCTGCACATAATTCTCGCATCGTCAGTGAATATCTCAGTGCGACTTTTCCTAATCGATTGATTAGTGGACACGAAGATATTTTTTGGCCTGCAAGATCACCTGATCTTGCACCTTGTGATTTTTTTATGTGGGGTATATCAAGTCCAAACTATATGGAATTGAAGACGATAGGCCTAATTCTCTCCAAGAATTAAGAGAAAAGATCTTTGATTCAATGAGAGGTATTAGTCCAGAAACATTAACTAATGTTAGACGAAACTTTTATAATAGATTGGGTTATTGTTCTGCTGCTAATGGAGGCTTATTTGAACATTTTTTGTAAATATATTTCATTAGAATAAAATACGTTTATTTAGAATATTTTTATAGAATTTCTGCTTATTTAAACATTTTTTTGTAAGTACATTTATTTAGAACGTTCTTTTATGTTTGAAGAATTTTTACTTTATTTTAGAAAGTACATTGTTTTTTCAATAAGATTTTCATTTTTACTATAAACACTTCTAATAAAGACTGAAATAAATGTTTTATGATTTAAAGCAAAACGATATAATATCTGCATAATTTCAAATTTTTAAAAAAGTAAAAACTTTTTGTAGGATTTGAACCCTAACCGCCTGCATGAGTACATCGTGCCTTCAGCCCTGATCTATCAGACTTTTATAATTCTTTAGTGACAGTTTGGGTTATTATTCTGCTGCTAATGAAGGTTTATTTGAACATATTGTAAATACGTTTATTTACAATATTTTTTTATTTTTGTAAAATTTTTACTTATTTAAACATTCTTTTAATTTTGAAGAATGTTACTTTAGTTTCGAAAGTACAACGACACTATTTTTTCAATAAGATATTTATGTTTAACTTTAAACACTTCAAATACTAGTAACGACTGACATAAATATTTAGTGATTCAAAGCAAAACGATCTTTGCAAAATTTCAAATTATTAAAAAAAGAAAAAAGAAAACCTCATGTAGGTTTTGAACTCTGATCATCTGCGTCGCAGAGTCGAATTCTTACCACTAATCCACGAGGGATTGCTAATTATTCTGTGATAAGAGTGTATGAAACTCGTAAAATCATAGTAGAAATTATTCTTGGTTAATAATTTAAAACTTTAGAATAAATAATCACTATTAATTAAATTATTTTATTCACAGTTTTGCTTTATTGTGGTCAATCAGTTTTTACTTTATCTAAATTAAAAAATGGAAATACGTCACACATACGACGTCAAACTGTCAAACATAATAATTATGACCGAGGTGATTTAGATCGAAGGTAACGTCTAAAGGTGTGAGACTATCGATAGTCGTAATGTAATGTAATGTAAATTATAGGTTTCTATCGATTATTTCCCACCTCTACGAGTTTCATCTCCTTTTATTTCACAAGGTAACTGTGTTTTCTATCTCTTACGTTAAAAAGCCGGCTGATATCGCACTCACCACTGTATATATATATATATATATATATATATATATATATATATTGATTGATTGAACGAGTTAAATTCGGAACATACGAAATATATGTGTTTCGGCTCAACTCCGGTCTAGGTGGCTAGCCAACAAAAGGTTGTCAAGTAATTATGTTATAAAAATCCAATACTTCAACGGCCTGCTGGATTCTGAACTAATTCAAGAACTCAATCATAGCTGGTCAAACCACCTATCGGTTCCTAAAGCTGGCCACTCACGGTACAGCGGTGTCGTTCGACATAATCTGACAGCGGCGTTGTTCAATTTGTTGGAATATCTGGTGCGCCCACACACCATACTGCGCCGCAGTATTTGTTTGGTTCTCGACCATGTCAAATCAAACAATCATTTTAGCGTCTCTTACTTTGTGTATAACTAAGCGTAAAAATAAACCTAAAATAAAACGTAGATTCTGGTGCAAAGAATCCAAGATTTTGGTGCAAAATAAATCTCGTCTGCCCCTGCACCCAATTTACTGGACTGCAATGCTAATTTTAATTCTCTTTTATAGGATGTTCTAAAATTGTTATTTTTTTTTCTTACATTCTTTCACTCTTCTACTTCTACTCTTCATTCGCAGCTTTGTTTACTTCTTAGAACTTTAAAACTAGAATATCCATTGCCTGTTTTCGGGTGTTTCTATCGTGATACGTTTTACCTTTTATTCGCTATAAGCATTCTTGTATTTTATATAATTCAAAAAACTCTCTTAAAAAATTCTCGCTAAATCAAGCCATTTCGATTTTCCATAATATGATCAAAACAAGTGTGTAGTTAAAAACGAAGTTGAACCACGCCGCTGTACCGTGAGTGGCCGGCTTTAGGTAAGCCCCTCTTTCGTTTATCGGAGATGGAGATTTTGAGCGGTATTGCCAATATCATTCCTCTAGATGTTTCTAAAATAACTACAAACTTCTGAAATAACTACAAACCATTAAGTTTACTTTTGTTATTAGTCTGTTGTCGTAGATTGGTAAATACAATGAAAAATATAGGCAAATATCCGATTTATTTAAAGATACGAAGAAGATATAACTCTCAAAAAAGATCCGCAAATCGGATTATTACACGGCGGTTGGCAACATTGACTTTGGGCTGCGCTCTAAACTATGATGCGTTCTAAAAGGAGACTGAACGATATTTTATACAATGTCTATCACCGGGTATGGATTTATTTTTGTCCAAGTTTTATATTGGTCCACTATTTCAAATGCAGTTCAAACAGACATATATTAAATTGTATGATCCGTTTTAAATTCGTTCAATCTGTATATATATATATATATATATATATATATATATATATATATATATCTATATACTTCATCTAATTTACATACCGATGCACGTCATTATCGTTAGAGATCGAAGTTGACATAGTTGCCAAAGTATAAAAAAAACCTGACTCCATTTTAAATCAAATAGATCACATAATTTTTGCAAAAGTATTACCATCTCTTTACGACGACTATTTAAATTCTTACGTGACATTTTTGAAATAAAACACACACAATTTTGTTCTAAAAAGAACAGATTTTATTAAATAGGTAAAAATATAAAACAAGAGGTATTCACTTTAAAATTCAAAATAATAAAGTACAAAAAGTGTCAACACCGCAACTGTCAAATAAGTGTTACCAATTTATGCCAAAATTTCACCTTCGTTCGATTACAGTTACAGTGTGTTCCGAACAAATGTTCTTCATAAAAACGCTTTATAATGCATTTATAAAAATTAAATGAAACATATTATTGTATATTTCTTTAAGTTAACATTAATAGAAATTTTTAAATATTATTTCTACGCGTATAAAATAAAATATGTCTAGTGGTTGTAATGCCAGTGTACGCGGCACAGTGATTCTATAAAAGAACACACCTACCACCTAAATATTTCGTGTTGGTATCATGTGACGTCACGGGCTATGACGCCGATGACGTGCATCGGTATATAAATTAGATGACACTGGTTGTATGTAATATTTACATTTTATTGTCTATTTTTCCGGTATATTTACTTGTGATATTGCCCACGGCTCAAAGATTCACAATATACACATATTTTCTCAGATGTCAAATCCACCTGTTGTGGATAATATATGTACGAGCATAAGTTATCGCGCAGCGTGACTCTCGAATGGCACCCTCTTGATTCCTTATTCCAAATTAACAAAGGTGAGAAGGTTCACTAAATGACTTGTCAGAAGTCTGAGGACTTGGTCGGACCTAGAAATCGACGACCAATAGCCCTTGACAACACATCTATACAGTTTTTACAGTCTCTTTCTAGTTTCAAACATATTCTTATATCCTCGAGTTATAATATTATATCGTTACACATTTCCTTTTGCATTTTTTGCATAATCTCATTCTCCACGATAGTGTTAATATCAAAACAATGAATATATTTTTTAATTGTTAACATAAAAATTAAAATACCTTAATAGTGTTATTGATTCTTACAGGTTTATCATTTTGCTCAAAAAGAGTCGGCAGATATACCACCCGAAGAACAAATTCGCGACTATACTCCACCTCGCAAGAAGAAGAAGAAGCATCGTCTTTGGTCTATGCACTGTCGAAAAATCCAGCTCAAAAAAGACTCAAATAGTAATCATGTGTACAACTTTACGCCATGCGATCATCCAGGACAAAACTGTGATCATAACTGCCCGTGTATTGGTGCGCAAAACTTCTGCGAAAAGTTTTGTAACTGCAGTTCAGACTGTAAGTTTTAGCTTTTGTTTGTATATTTGATTATGACCACACCACATTTTTTTCGTCATAAATTGTTCTAGTAGACATGGAGGAAACCGGATGTAACATACTGAAGGCCATAGTAATGAATAAAAACCCATTCCGGGAAAGTCTAGACGTACTTTGGCTAAACTAATTTTGGATCATATTTCACTATAACAATAATATATTTCATGCCAACTGGAAGAATTTCCGATCAATTTCATGACTGGTACCAAAATAACATTCTTTATCAGATGTACCTAATACTCAGAACATAATAGTCGTTGGATTAATCCCTTATGAATATTTAATTGTTTTAGGTCAAAATAGATTTCCTGGATGTCGATGTAAAGCTCAGTGTAATACCAAGCAGTGTCCTTGCTATTTAGCTGTTAGAGAATGTGATCCTGATCTTTGTCAAACGTGCGGTGCAGACCAGTTTGACAATACAAAAATTACTTGCAAAAACGTCAGTGTTCAAAGAGGATTGCGTAAGTATTTTTTTATATTACGGTATATCCTTTGTATTAGCAGACTAGTGTTAGTTTCCATGCTTTATTATTAGCCCAATAACATCAATTCATCATCATAATAGCCTCGACAATCGTTTGTGCTTTTGGCCTGCTCATACATATTTGGTTTTTTCTTCTTTTACAAGTACTAGTTCACATTCGTAAACTTTGTAAAACACTGCGCTACGTCTCTCATACTTCTACCCACTATATAACGATATCATCAGCCAATGCGAGAATTTGTGTTGATCTATTAAAGATAGTTCCGTCAAATCTAATGTTTATCTGTCTGAATGCCTTTTCCAAGGCAATATTAAAGATGAGCGCTACCGCTACCGCGTCTCCCTATCTAGACTATTGTGAAAATTAAAGAAAGTAGTTTTCTCCTTGATTTCTAACGCACGAGGCTACATTTTTTATTGTTAGTTTTGTTAGTTTAACTAACTTAGCTGAGATCCCAAAGTCTATCATTGCATTATGTAGTGCAGTTCTTTTTAACACTGTCATAGGCTGCTTTGAAGTTGACGAAGAGATGGTCAGTGAAAATTTGCCTTTGTGCGTGCATTTGGTGTATAGTTGACTTTCCGTCATATTAACAACAAATAGATACTTTATACACAAAAACAATAGTTTTGTAAATTATGAATTCGTATTTGATAAGTAGTTGAGTTTATTAATATTTAATGGTTTGGTTTTCAGATAAACACTTACTGATGGCGCCGTCTGATGTAGCTGGATGGGGCATATTTTTAAAAGATAGTGCCCAAAAAAACGAGTTTATATCGGAATATTGTGGAGAAATAATTTCTCAGGACGAAGCTGATAGAAGAGGAAAAGTATATGACAAATATATGTGCAGTTTTCTTTTTAATTTAAACAACGGTAAGGTTATAATTGTAAGAATTGAATCGGTGAGATGTAAAAGGATAACATTCCATTTTTTGCCAAATTTATTTAAGATATCTATTTTGTTCACTTTACCAAGCTCTAGAGACTTGTTCAAAGACAAATAATATTCCATCACATTAAATAGCTTATATTAAACTAGTTTACCTGAAGTAAAATTTAAAAGGATAACATTCCTGGAATATTATCCCTTTTGACCCCAACAAAATTATTTTCATCATTGACCTCAAAAGGATAATTTCAAAGGATGAACAAAAGGATTTTGTTTTCTATTTTCTACCCATTTTTACTTTTCACTTGTCACTTGACCATATTAACTTCTCTCCAGGAGCATATTGTGACAGTTTGTTATTAGATAAGCTTTTAGGGAGAGCGCCCACCAAAGTGGCGTGGCAGTGGCAAGTAGCAAGTAGCACGCGTCTAGCATAATGTAACCAATGAAAACGAATGATTCAGTTTACACCAAAATGACAGTAACGTCATTCATTCTAATCATTCGTTAGGATTGGTTACATTATGCTAGACGCGTGCTACTTGCTACTTGCCACTGCCACGCCACTTTGGTGGGCGCTCTCCCTTAAGGTTATGTTTTGTATTGTATGTTGTAGTGGGGTGACAAAATTAAAAGAAAGAAAGTAAGAAGGGATGGATCAGAATTTGTCACTTCCAAAGTTGTTTTGGTTGAAGAAAGGAAGGGTGGGTCTGACTGTTTATGTAAGAAAAAATGCACAGATTTATTTTCCCCTGAAGAGAAACAGGTATTATTAAACTTGTATACAATGGTCAACCTAAGAATAAGTCGACACTTTTTTGATAAGCCTTATTAACAGATCCGATGTGACTAGACATAGGTCTAAAAATGAAGACTCCTAAGCAAAGCAAATACAATCATATTTTAAGAATTTTAAGAAACAACACAAAAGTGGAAGTTTGTAGAAAGGAATTTTAAAGTTTACATTCAATAAGTAATAAAGCATTACAAAGTCTTATTAAGGCTGTTTTATCGGTGCACCAAAACCTAGGAACTGTTATTTACCGATAAAATGTCTCGAAATTTGGACACAATATTCGAAACTATGTTGCTTTTAAAATGATGGTTTTAATTTTTTTATTTTTTTGTTACTTCTGTTAAAAAATTGGATTATACTGTTTAACGTTCTATTATAACCAAACTTTTTACGCTCATCGCTTGAAAGAGTTTTTTTTCTGTAATCGTTGATTTTTTTTTTCACCTTTCTGCGTCCAGTAATAATCGAGAAAACCGTGTTCAAACTTTGAAGAAAATTGCTAAAAAATACTAAAATCTAATAGTGAAACGTGTTAATCATCATTGTAGCTAGGTTCACCGTTATTGCCTTCGTGGCTTCAAATCTCATGAGCGTACGGTCAGTTAGTTCGTGTTAAAACTAATTTGAATGGAGAGTAATGCATTTGTTGCCCGTTGCCGACGTCACTGAGTAAAGATAGTCTCGCGTAAGCAATGTAGAAATGTAAGTGATACGCCCATTTCAAATCGCCGTGTGCTTGAACTGCTAAAACAGCCCTAACTTAAAAAATAAAGGCGAGCTTCCATATGATAAAAGAGGGTTTCATGAAAATCACCCCAGAAAATCGAATGATATTGTCAAAAAAATCCAAAATCATATTGAATCATAAAGAAAACATCTCATTATTCATCAAAGATTTATATTTAGATGCAACCTTAAATGTCTATGATATGTTTTTAGACAAATATCCTGAAATTTCGTCAAATTATGTCATGTATGAGTTATTTTTAAAATACTATAAGAAAAACATTGATTTTAAATTCGGCAGGCCTCAAGTTGACGTCTTTTCAGTCTACGAAGAAGTCTCAGAAATGTGCAATAACAGAACAGACATTATGGTAATTAGTTTTGATTTTATGCAAAATTTACAGTTACTTTTATTACCTGTGCAGGAAATGTTTTACCTGCGTAAACTATGCGTGTATGTCTTTAGTGTCCATAACCTAACAACTAATGAAGTAGTATTTTATACCTATCATGGGGGTTCAGGGAAAAAGGGCCTAACGAGGATTGTACGATGGTATCTAATTACATTAGAGATAAAATACCCCTGAAGTAAAAGAGTTACATGTTTTTAGTGATGCTTGCGGTGATGCAAACCGCAACCACACCATTATAAGATTGTTCTTAGCACTTATGACAGGAAGATTTAACACAATTCACCATTATTTCCCAGTTCGCGGCCACAGCGAACATTATTTTAATTTTCCAAAAGTAAAGTTTTTGGAATTTTATCCTTTTACATTTCACTGATTCAATTATTGTTCCGTTTTCTAGTAGTCTTTATTGATTTCCAATGATAAGATCTATAGTCAACCATTATACCCCTTACAACATTGTACAACAGCAGTGCCAAAATGGTAGATCGCGACAGCTTCTGGAGTTGACCGCGAAAGAATTCAGAAGTACTTTAGCCCCGGTTAAAATATTACAGACTTCTGAGGCATTTCGACCGCGCGATGTTCGGCGAATGGTACCGATTCTTTTCGAATGTCTGTTTCATATATAGTAAGCTGCGGCGACGGAGCATTATGTCAGTCTTTATTAAGTTACGATAAGTAGAAATTCTATATAAAGTAGCAATATTTAAAAATAGCATAATTTAAAAGCCGAGCAAAAACTGGCTTGTTCTATTGGTTGATAGAGGTTCAATTTATTTTCTAGTCTATAGGTGACTATTTTGGTAAAAAGTTTATACAAATGAGGAATCAGGCTTATAGGTCTATAGTTTTCGATTTCCGGAAGTCTTCTTTTTTTGTTAAAGGTTAATATCATTAAAACCTTGTTCTAATCGCTTGGAGTTATGCTCTCATACATACATAAGTTGAATAGACTGAATTTTTTCGAGGATAACTAACCCTCTATATCTTCGGATGTGCTCTGTATCTTGTGTTGGCTTTTATAAAGTTCTCGATACAATTATTCAACTGTTGTAAAGATTTCATTTCTGTTAGATGTCGTTTCAATTTTTATGTTTTAACTTATTTGAAAATTTCTTTTCTGTCGCTTTCTTCTGAAAACTTCCATGCTTTTATTTTGTTCGATTGTTTGTTGTATCTACTCTTGCATTATTGTAGTGTCCAATGTCATTCTGCTACTTTTGGAGATATTTTTGTTTATAGACCTTATTTCTTGAAGTGCTAAGCTTTGTGATTCAACTCTCTTCGTTGTTTCATTATATAGTTATAAATTTTTATACATCAAACATTGTTTTTGTTTAATTCCATATAAATTAAATATTTCATTTACAGATTTTGTGGTGGATGCAACTAGAAAAGGAAACAAAATCAGATTTGCTAATCATTCAATTAATCCAAATTGTTATGCCAAAGTGATGATGGTCAATGGTGATCATAGAATTGGAATTTTTGCAAAACGACCTATCCAGCCAGGAGAAGAACTATTTTTTGACTACAGGTAACTTTTTCGTAGCAGGTTTTAATTATTTTCATTCATTAGTAAGTATGGACACAAACGCCTTAATTTCATGGCTTAGATTCTGAGACAAAGAAGTACCGGACGAATATTGTGTGTGTGGTGTGTGTGTGTGTGGCAATGGAAACTGATTGTGAATTAGTTCTTGATACAGAATTGAAGAGAACCGAGAGTTCAGAGAACATTCGAGGAATATGGAGAAAAGTGCCGGCGTTTGGGGTGGAATTATTTGTGATTCCACGTGCTTTTAATCTGCTACGAACTTATACCGCCGCTATTCTCTGAGGTTTTTGAGTGAACTGTATTATTTTGAGTGTCTATGGTACGTAAAGAATACGAGTAACTTGTAACTAACATTTATTTCTCTACGTATTATACTTAACACAAACACAATATACAACCGGTACAATATGTCACAATATACGTGGTTACACAAAGTTGTTATATTTCACAATCACGGAGACAACTTTTCTTATTGCTAAGCACTTGAGAGAGAGACACATGCTCTGAGAATCGCAAATACCAAAATCACAAATTTGAGTATTAAAGCACCATGTTTCTTCCGCGAGAGTTTGTAACAGACAGACAGGGCTTTATCTTTCGACCGTCGGTCGCCGATGTCGGGAACAGATCATTGTTCACAGGGTTCGAGTACCGTTAGAGTTTATTGGTAAGGTATTGGAATGAATAGGGCGTCTTGGCATACAGGGTGGAGTAAAGGTAATAAACAAAGGGAAATATACTATCTTGAAAATTACAGGGTTGTAAACAAAATCAGTTTACAACCATACTGCCCCCCAGAGAAATGTCTAGTATCTTGTAGCCTTACTTTTACTATAAGGCGGAAGAAGGGTCAAGAACAGGCGTTGAGGTCTCATCTGGCAGTAAGGGGATCAGTTTAGTGATAGGGCGAATAAACGTTCAACTTTTCGTGCGAACTTAAACTGCTCGAACCTTGTGGTCTTTTCCTTCATAAACTTCGGTCACCCGAGCTAGTGGTCACTGTAAGGGAGGGTAGTCAAGGTTTTAACCAATACTAAATCGCCGAGTTAATATTAGGAGTTACGTGAATCCATTTGGGTCGGTATTGGAGCTGATTTAGATAATCCGAGGTCCAACGCTTCCAAAAGAGTTGCTGAACTCGAGTACACTGCTGCCAGCGCTTCAGTCGATTATCCGGAGTGCATGAAATATCTACCTCTGGATAAGATAACAGGGGAGCACCTATTTCACAGGTGTCCTGGAGTAAGAGGCTGTAGGTCTAATGGATCAGTAGACAATGGAAATAGAGGGCGGGAGTTAAGAACGGCCGCTACTTGAGCAAGGATAGTGCAGAATTGTTCAAAGGTGTATACAGAGTTACCGGTGATTTTAATCAAAAGTGACAGCACTTTTAATTGAGGTTTCCCGCACATTTGTCATAACAAAAAAATATATTCTAGAGCAACTTGTGTGTTAAGCTATGTTTAGGCACATTTGCCATAAAGAAAACTAAAACAAGTAAATTGTCCAAAACAAAAATTAAGATAAACAGAAAACAAATCTCTAACTTATTAGCTAAAAACTTATTCTAGTGCGTATGTTTAACTTTCATGTATAAATGCTTCTTCTAGCTCTCATCTTATGCATCGGAACGATCTTTCAATCCAGAATAAAAGCTGTGGAACTTAAGCGGAATAAACTTAACTAAGTCGATTAAATCCTGTTTCTTTTCTTTTATTATTGCTCTCCCATTTGGATACAGAACCTGTAGGTTGTGCATTACAGTAGATGATGATGGGCGGCTTTTGGTTTTCTTGCTTAAATCAATCTCTTGAAACAAACCCATGTCCTGTGCTGTATATTTTACATAAATTTTTTTTGGTTCATTTTTAAGATGAAGGTGAGGTGAATTTTAAGCCATTCAACTTTTTTGCCAGTTATAGTAACTTTCTTTTCTGTTTGTAACTTTTTTTTTTATTTTCAAGAGACTTGCTACTAAAAAACTCTAGTGAGTTCATTCTTTTGACCTGGAATTTTGGATTTCTTTTTTTTGGCCGATTGAATTATGGAAACCCAATCATCGGGTTCAAAAATTCGATCATGGTGTTTTCTCTCCATTTCAATTAACCCAAAATCTTGATCGCATGTATTAAAACTATGACCAGATACAAAAAATCTTTGTTCTATAACTTTTAGTGACGATTTACACTTTTGAAGGTAGTTGCTTAACATTAAAGCCACCTTTATATTCCAATTCTGGCCTCCACAAGCATTGCTATACAAAATCAGATATTCGGTTGGGTCAGGTAAGTGCGCTTCAAGATGGTTTATTAAGCATGAAGCTATCTCTTTAGCTTCTCGGGATGTGATATTTTCAGGACAGACATACATGTGTCCTGTTTCTGTGACTTCATCATGGATGCCCAAATTATATGTCCACATTTGTCTCTTATAATAAACTACACCTGTACTTAACTCAGGAGTAGGAAGCGTTTTCTGAAGATCAAAGACTCAAACTTATTTTTTGCTGATTCTTTTGCTTTAATTATATTTTGCTTTTTGTTTTCTTTAACTACTTCTGCTTTTCTTTGGTGTAATTCCAATTCAACCTTTGCATCCTGTTTACGTTGTTCTGAAGTATCAGATGATTTTATTTCAGTATTAAGACTGTCACACTTTTAACAAGTATCTTTATGTGGTACATGAAAATGCAAATTCAACTTCAACATAATTAATTTTTTTTTCGGAAGAATCTTATACATATCTTACATATCGTATATATTTTGTCTCATAATATATTTTCTCTCCCAGAGGGATCAGTTTTCTTAAATTATGATTGTAGTTATTTTAAAACTAGATAACTCATTGTTTTTGTGTAAATTTTTCTTAAAAAATGTATGTACAATTCATATTGTTTCAGATATGGTCCTACCGAGCAACTGAAGTTTGTAGGAATAGAACGAGAAATGGAATTCTTATAGTCTTAACGTGATGTTTTATTTAATTTTTTCCTCTGTTCACATTTTGGCCTGATTATTTTAATTTTATATATTTTGACTTTTGAAAAGTACACATTAAGTATTCGTGTGTAATTTTACAACTTTTAGTATTGAAATATACACTTTATATATACGCTGTATTGTTTGTTATTGATTACTAAGAGTACCTAGTCCTAGATTCAAGGCCTGTTGAGCTTTGTAAATAAATAATAAATATACTAAGAATAATTAGATTTGGATATAAAGGAAAAGAAAATTTTAGAAATGAACGAATTACACAATTACTACTACTAAGACAAGACTTTTATTACTTAGTAGAACCAATTATCCGAGAAACATCAAGGACCAAATACTTGGAAAAAGAAGATCAGAAGCAAATGTGACATTAGTCTAGATGATCAACTAATTAAAGGCATTAAATATTGCCACACAACATGAGTAAGTTCATAAAACAAATTGTGGATACATCATTTATGTTTGAGATGTATCCACAAATTGTGGATACATCTCAAAAGAGATCAAAGTAAATTACTTTGAGATCTGAGAAATTTGATACAAAAATTTGAGATCTCAGCTTTATGCTCAGAAAACTAGAAGAAGAATACAAAAACAACGGAATGGAAATAAACTTAGAGAAAACCGAATACCTAACAACAGAAAACAAGGATATGAGAAACCTAGAGATAGACGAGGGAAGACAAGTAAATGGAACAGATAAATTCAAGTATTTAGGAACCATAATATCGAACCAGGAAACAGCAGAAGAAGATATGAACAACAAGACTAACACAAACAAGAAACTGTATAAGACAACTAAATTCAGTGCTGTGGGATAAGAACATTACGATAAAGACAAAAAAGAGAATATATAATACCCTGACAAGAAGTATCCTGACATATGGGTCCGAAAACTGGACAATAAACAAGAGAAATAGAGGTAGAATAAGAGCAGTAGAAATGGAGTTCCCGAGGAGAAGCTGTAGACTTACAAAAAGAGACAGAATTGAAAACGCAGAGATTAAATAATAATAATAATAATAATAATAATAATAATTTATATAATATAATATAATAATATAATAATAATAATAATATAATATAATAATTTTTTGAAGCATATAATGACAAAGTGGAAGACTAAAATTCACCTTCAAATACCTGGTGAAACCAATATCGAAACTGAAGATATCGCTATTAACCGGGGCCTTTTCCAGGGGGACTCGTTGAGTCCACTTTGGTTCTGCCTAGCGATGAACCCACTATCTCAGCTGCTGAACTCCACTGACTCAGGATTTAGCATCAAAAATAACAACACTGTTGTGGCTAAGCTTAATCATCTGTTGTATATGGATGATTTGAAACTAATGGCTTCCACTCGAAATCACTTAGATCAGATGCTAAAAACTGTAGAAACTTTCTCAAATGATATCAGTATGCACTTTGGACTAGACAAGTGCCGTATACTTAATATAGTCAGAGGAAAGGTTCAGCCCGGAGGTTTCGATATGCAAGATGGCCAAAACATCGAGGCAATGGGTGAAAATGATATTTACAAATATCTCGGAGTAAAACAGGCGCGGAAAATTGACCATAAACAGATGAAAACTGAACTAACTTCGGAGTTCGTGCGAAGAATAAGACAACTAAATCGGTCATATCTTAATAGTAAAAATTTGTTTAAGGCATTAAATACGTACGCCTGTTCCGCGCTGAGCTACTCATTTGGTATTATAAAGTGGTCAAAAACGGATATAGAGGGTCTTCAGCGGAAAGTAAGAACACTTCTTACAAAGGCGCAAAAACATCATCCACGCAGTGCAGTAGAGAGAACAACATTACCGCGGTATCAAGGAGGAAGAGGACTTATGGATATAGGTGAGCAATTAGATAAACAAATTGCTAATTTAAGATCTTATTTTCAGGTACAGGCTGAGACATCTACTTTACATCGAGCAATTTGCGCAGTAGATGACACAACGCCGCTTAAACTGAGGGAACAAGAAATGCGCACAAACCATCTGACTAAGCAAGAAAAAATGCGCACCTGGATGAGTAAACCTCTGCATGGGCGACATCTCAATGAGATCAACCAAGAATATGTCGACAATACAGCGTCGAACTATTGGTTGACATCAGGAAAGATGTTTCCCGAGACTGAAGGTTTCCTACTTGCCATTCAGGATCAGGTTATTCCAACTAAAAATTACCTGAAATATATTGTTAAAGATCCTCAAGTCCAAAATGACAAATGCCGATATGGATGCCAAGCCCAAGAAACCATCCAACATCTTACCGGTGGCTGCCAGGCATTTGTCGGTACTGATTATAAAGAACGCCATGACTCAGTAGGAAAGATTATCCACCAAGAACTAGCTGACAAACTGGGACTTCTCCAAACCCACCATCTTCCTTATTATCAAGATGTCCCTGACAGAATGCTTGAAAATGACAACTACAAGCTATACTGGGACCGCACTGTGCTTACAGACCAACCAGTAGCCCATAATAGACCGGATCTCATACTAGTAAATAAAATTACCAGGCAAACAACACTTATTGATGTGGCGATACCTAATACCAACAATTTGCTTGTTAAATACAACGAAAAGATCGCCAAGTATAGAGATCTGGAAATACAAATCAAGAGACAATGGAGAATGGAAAGTACCCAGACAGTACCTATTGTTCTATCTACTACTGGTGTTATTCCCAAGAACCTCCTAGCGAACATAAAACAGCTGGGTCTAAATGAACATCTTTATAAGGCCATGCAGAAAGCTGTACTCCTCGCGACCTCCAGATGTGTACGAAAATTTCTGGGAGATACTCCGACATACCAAGTCACCTAGGGCTCGATAACACGGAAAGAGTCCCACCAGAGCTCAATCCTTTTGATACCGTAGGTATCTGGGATGAGTGAATTTTCCCCTTAGAGGGAGTGTGAGCCGTATGGCTAAATCTGGGATAATAATAATAATAATAATAATAATTGGGTGTTGAGGAGGCGGGCCCCTGTCATACAATCAGCTACAGCCCAACAACAACCACAAGTGAGCCAAACAACAACAAGAGCTCCACTCGCTGAAGGTGCTGCGCTGGAACATCAGCCGGCGCTCACTCAAGCGGGACGACCGAGGCAGCGTATGAAGTGGACAGTGTCCATAAACGAAAATATTTTGCGCTTTTATTATAAGGTGACAAACCTCGGTCAAGAAACAATCGGCTATCGACAACAACTGTATGCCGAATTTTGCAGGGAGTACCCAGAAATCCAAGTATCTGAACAAAGAGTAGCAGATCAATACCGGGTAATTTTAAGAAACAATCTTATTCCAGAGAATAGACGCGACACCATCAGACGCGAAATCGAACGGGAGATCCATAACCAAGAGCAAGTTGCAGACCAAGTCCCTAATGAAATCCCTAATGAGCAGATTCCTGAGATTCTCATACAAGAAACTCAACCTAATAATACACAGCAGGACAATAACGAGTTGCACGATAGTCTGGCAAACGAAATGGCGCGCGCCGTACAAGAGTTTAGTGGAACAAACCCACTTAGCAGACCACCGCTACCAAAAATAAACTCTTCCAAGAAACTAGGAGCGCTGTTACAAATCGTGAATACTGACGTCCTACCCAATTATATCACAGAAGCCCATACATTGGAATATTTGCATATGCTGATTTACTGTGCAGCAACAGCAATTGCTAATGTTATGGGCATTAAGATCAGAACACGACGGGGTACCAACATCGGAAGGACTGGTAACAGAATAGCACCCTGGGAAAAACGACTGCTGAAGAAGATCGAATTACTGCGTAGGGACATTGGACAAATAACAGAGTACATAAGAGGAGTAAGAAGTAGAAAAATCATCAAAAGAGCTGAAGAAATACAGTTTAACACTCTAAGACACTCACGATATGATCCAGAAAACAACACACCTCAACAATGCCTGGACACATTAAAACAAAAACTATCTGTTTACTCAGGCCGCCTGAGAAGATACAAAGTTAGTAACAACCGGAAATGCGACAATATACTTTTTGAGCAAGCAGAGAAAACTTTCTATAGGAAACTTAATTCCACTGTAGAAAACGCAAATAAATCCTACCCAAGCCAAGAAGAAATTCATGAGTTTTGGGGAAACCAACTTTCGACGCCAGCTACCCATAACAACAAAGCTGGATGGATTGAAGACACCACGAACAAATGTCAACACTACAGGAATATTCCTTATGAACCTTTCACCACTGAAGAAGTCTCGAACATTATCAAAGAGCTTCATAACTGGAAATCTCCTGGACCGGACGGAGTTCAAAACTTCTGGCTAAAGAAGTTTTGGAGTGTTCATGAGCTTTTAACAGTATTTATTAATAATATTATTTCTAATTCACAGGAAATACCATCATTCCTTACTCAGGGAACCACCTATCTAATACCGAAGGATCAAAATAACACCCAAGATCCAGCCAAGTACCGCCCAATTACTTGTCTTCCAACTTTGTACAAATTGGTCACATCCTGTGTAGCCCGGCGTATCTACCAACACTGTGCTCTGAACAATATCATAGAGCCCCAACAGAAAGGATGCGCTAAGGGCTCCATGGGATGCAAAGAACAACTTATTATCGACTCAGTCATTTCTAACCAGGCATACACCAAAAAAAGAAACCTTTTTACTGCCTTCATTGACTACAAGAAGGCTTTTGATTCAGTGCCGCATGAATGGCTTATAGATATATTGAAAATATATAAAGTCGATGATAATCTCGTGACCTTTTTGAAGCATATAATGGCAGAGTGGAAGACTAAAATTCACCTTCAAATACCTGGTGAAATTAATATCGAAACTGAAGATATCCCTATTAACCGGGGCCTTTTCCAAGGGGACTCGTTGAGTCCACTTTGGTTCTGCCTAGCGATGAACCCACTATCTCAGCTGCTGAACTCTACTGACTCAGGATTTAGCATCAAAAATAACAACACCGTTGTAGCGAAACTTAATCATCTGTTGTATATGGATGATTTAAAATTATTGGCTTCCACCCGAAATCACCTAGATGAGATGCTAAAAACTGTAGAAAATTTCTCAAATGACATCAGTATGCATTTTGGACTAGACAAGTG